ATGCTTTGAGATTTGACTTCTCTGCAACATGGAGATCTATAATGAAAGTCATGGATACTTATATTAAGGGGCTATTTTTTATTTTTAAAAGTTTCTGAGTTTCTGATGACTAACCGATCTCCTTGTAATATTTTTTGTATATAATTTTCCATGCCAATGGTTTAATTTAATCTTGTTTTTATTTTAGTTTCACTCTCAAGCTGTATTCTGCCTAAGCTATGCATTACAGAGTCAATCATTTTATTAACCTTCTTGTTTATGTTTTTGTTCCAAATGTATGTTAGTATCGTGGAATAATTGTTGTTAACTTTTACTGATTGAAAGTTCACTTGTAGTGCCAAACAGGTCGGATTTCGTTTAAGCTTTATGATTGGAATCCAGCAGAATTTCCTAGAAGGCTACGACACCAAGTATATTAAATCATTGTTATTGCAGTTTAGTATTTGAATAGTGGCAAGTCCTTCTGTTGTATACGTCTTAGTAACTGATTAACAGGATGCCAAATGCATTTTGCAGATATTCCAATGATTGGCAAGTATGCCTGTGAAGTTGGAGGGTTATATCTGCCCTGGGTGCACCATTTTGACAAGTTTTATTGCAATGCCTAACATTATATGGATAAATGTAAGGGCTCACCTTGATGTTCTTTTCATTATGTGTTTTTGTGTCATGTTTAAGTGGTCTTGTTATGGGTTACTTGCCTCAATATTGGACTGAAAATACATCAATATTTTCACGAATTTTATTTTTAATTTTTTGTGATTTCATTTTTATGTTGTAGGTATCTGATCAAGGGAGTGTGCCAAACAATAGATGTAATGAAGAAGAAGAAAATTAGATATTGTTATTGAATATCTTTATGATTCATATTTTTAGTATTGAACATTTGTATTGAATATATGTATTGAACATCTATATAGAATATATGTAATGAACATCTTTCTTTTTAAATGAACAATTAGTTGTATGAATGATATTTTAGCTTGAACAATGTTGTTTATTTTATACAATATTATTCGATTTTAGTTCATATTAATTTATTGTTTGTTTTCTCAATAAAATCATTTTTATTATAATTCAATTTTATTACTATAAAAAAATAAAAATAAAAATTAACTGGATACATTTCTGGCAGTTTTAAAACCCGGTTGACTAAACCATGCAAATTAGGGACGGTTTGGGAAAAGCCCCAGCTAGTTCCGGCGGTTTTTCAGTAACCCCCACTAATACCGGCGGTTTTCACAAAACCCCTGGTAATTCCGGCGGTTTTTGAAAACCCCCGCTATTTCCGGCGGTTTTTGAAAACCCCCGCTATTTCCGGCGGTTCTACAAAAAACCGTCGGTAATTATTTAGTGACGCAGGTTTTCCCAACGGTTTTCCTAACCGCGGGTAACATATTTTCCGGGGGTTAAAACCGCCGGAAATGAAAAAAATAACCCCCGGTAAAAATCTAATTTTTTGTAGTGTCCTATTGGTTAATCAAGGTTACGGGACCACACCTCTCTCTTCTATTGCTAAACTAAGGAGGACCTAAAAACAAGGAAAAATATACTTTGACACACATAATTTTTTTACATTTATTTGACACTACCTTTCCTTCCTTTTTACTTTCTTCTTTTCGTAAAATTACAAAAATTCATCGTTTTAAGACCATTTTACCTTTATTAAGTGTGTCAAAAACAAAAGCATTTCTCCCTTTTGCAAGCATAAAAACAAACAAAAATATTTTTTAACACACTTAAATTTTTTACATTCATTTGACATTATTACCCTTATTTACTTTTTACTCTCTTCTTTCTTAAAAAAATACAAAACTTTATACTTTTATAACCATTTTACCCTTGTACCCTGTATCAAATAAATGTAAAAGTGTGTCATGATACTATCACTCTAACAACAAATATTTTTTCTTATTGGCCATACCGATTTAAAATCAAATCTTATTGGTTAAAACTATCTCCTGACTAGGGATGGCAACGGGTCGGGTCGGGCACGGATAGTGCCTACCCGCAACCCGACCCGACAAAAAAAAATCCACCCGCTACCCGCACGGATACCCGCTTAAAAAATATCCGCGGGTATTTTAAAACCCGCGGATACCCGTGGATATCCGCGGATACCCGCAAATATTAAAAAAATATATATTTTAATAAATTATTAAAATAAAATTTAAATAAAATTATAAAAAATATATAAAATATAATATAAATTAAATTAAATATAAATTTTAATTAAATTTTAATTAAATTTAATATTGTAAAATATAAATTAATGTTAATTTTAATTAAATTTAACTTAATAAAATATAAATTAAATTTTTATTTTTATTTTTTGCGGGTAGCGGGTATCCGCGGGTACGGATAGTATAATATCCGCACTCGACCCGTTTATAAGCGGGTATTAAAATATCCGCTACCCGCGAGTTGCGGGTAATAAATATCCGCGGGTATCAACTATCCGTCGCGGATTTTTTTGCCATCCCTACTCCTGACCCCATCAAAAGCTTAAAAAATGAATGAAGACCAATTAAATCTCTCTTTCTTGCGTAGGGGTCCCAAAAAAAATAAAAAATAAAAACCTTCTAAGACTGCGAGAGATTCGAAGAGGATCAGTCAAGCACACACAAAATACACAATCACAGTTTATCCACTAGGACAACGATAACTCACTAACATTTTTGTGCAAACATTTGTATATAAATCTTTCATCATCTCATTTTGAAAATTAAAATAAAAGAAATTATTAATTAATTTTTATGCAACTCTTAAACATTTTTATCACCCAATACTATTCCATAATTAAATATTTATTATTAGAAAATATAAAAATAAAAATAAAAGGTATTTTTATTTTATCTAGGTCTTACACGAGGATATTGAGCATCACAAAGTCATAAGTCATTGAGTTCTCTGACTTTTGGGTGTTGAGCGGTGTATTTGGGTGCTGAGTGTCACTTGTCCATTGTAGGTATGACGCTGACACCAGCGTTTTGATGCTGGGCATCTTGTTTACAATTTGAGTTTTTGCTTTCTTTTCTTTTATTTCTTATGGATGAGGAGATACATTGATACTCTAAAGTTTTTTTTATAATATATATTGATTATTATTATAGTTTTTGCATGAGGTTATATATGTATTGAAGTATGGTTTGAAAAGTGTTTTTAAAGTGAAATTCTTAATGATTCTTTCAAGTAGTATATGTATTATTATAGGAGCTCAATCTTCGGATGTTGTGCTTAATTTGAAATGAAATTATTATATGTTATTTTGTGAATTCCATGTTTTATTGTTTTGATATTAGCTTACCCTTGTTATGTTGTTTGTTTGTGTTTGTTGTATGATTTGAATGATCACCTGATGAGTATGAGCAGAAAGAGATGATTTATCAGTAGAGTAAGCCCTAGGCGATGAGGGTGCTAATGATGAGTTTGTTTAGTGTAGTTAGGGTTTTTTTTTGGGTTGAAATTGTAACGAATCTTTTGTAAATAAGTAGATAGTCTTATATTATAGTTGTGTATATAAATTTGACTTATAATTTTGTTTTGACACTTTTATATATTTTCTTTTTACTTGGTTAACGGTTATAGTATATTGAATATGTGATATTTCCTCAATAGTGTTTAGACTATTGAAATGGGATATCACAATTAGGATTATTGTTAATGGTATTATTGTTATTAGGGTTAACATTATTTGTATTAGTATTGTTATTACTATTAATTCAATTAATAATAATATTAGTATTACTATATGTATTGATATAATTATTATGAGTTTTATAATTCAACACATCACTAATTATTTGTTATGTAAGTTTTGTAATTTACCAAAAACAAATCCGTTTTTCAAATGTTATTTTTTAACTTTAGGATTTATTATTTAAAAAAAAAAATCTCATCGATATATATATAAATAAAAGACTTGGATTGATATATGGAATTCCGACGCATATCTTATCGATAAGATGAAGATGGATAAAAAAGTTAGAATAAGTGACATAAATGTAGAGCACTAAAAAACAAAAGTGAAAAGAAAGAGAGAAAAGGGAAAGAAGGGTGAGAAGTGTTAAGTTAAGATGTTTATGAAGTTGTTGTACGTTAATGGGTTGGAGAAGAGGAACACAGTAGCCCACAGAGGGAGAAGAGAGAATTGTTGTGATGCAGAGTAGGGGAAAAGAAATGCGTGGAGAAAAAGGTGAAAGAGACTCTTAATGGGTGCTTGCTCCCTCTATGGAGCGTTGGGGCAGCGATAGCATGGTCCTTTAGTGTCTCAGGATTGATACAGTTCATAAGATGGAATAAAGGGTTTTGGCTGTGGTGAGCAGAAGAAGACGCAGGCAGCACATGCACCACGCATCTCACACCATATCTCTTTACCTTTGTTTCTGTCCTCTAATGCTTACAAAATTTAAAGCAGCGCAAAAGGGATTTTAGGGGACAAAACACTGATAACTCCAACGGCTAACCATCTCAACCACCTACAATACAACCTATTCCCTTCTTTTACTTTTTGCCAATTTCCTATGTAAAGCTTCTGTCGCTTCTACGTACCACCATGCCCCGACCACCCACAACCCCTCCACTCATCTCATAATATGCTTTTCTTTAACTTCTTACTAATTTTCCAACAAAATATTTCAATATTCACTCCCTAAAATATTATCCACTCGTGTTCATTAACATTCAACCAGATGTTCTCTTTACACCATTTAATTTCTTTCTGTCTACTCACTCATATATCGTCTTGTACAATTGTTTAGTGACTCTTATATTCTCTAATAATGAGATCTTATATACTCATACATTTTTCTCATTAGTCCATTTTTTGATAGAGAAACTGAGTAAACTTTTAATTTTGTTTTTTATTATTTCTTGTTCATCCTCAATTACATATACCTTCTACCATTTACTACTTACAATTTTTTCTAGTATCATTTCTCTTTTTGTAGTGAATCTCCAGAAATTTATGAACTAATTCTTACACAAAAGTAATGTATTCTTTTAGTTTTAAGATCTAATCAATATACAATTTTTACACGTATTTATAACTAATACTTTTATAATGATAATAATATATAATTTTTTATTTTAATAATATGTATCATATCTTTTTAAAATTTTATTCATATTTTAATATAAACATAATCATATATTATGTACTATTAGTTTTAAAATAAATATATTGATATTGGTATATTATTATAAAACTAAAATAAATATATCAATGTTTTTATATAAATAGTTATGACTTAACATAACTTCATATCATCTGCAATGAAGTCATTCAACACGATTTCTTTCTTTTGAAATCTCACCAAATTATTACGAATTGTCCAAACTCAAGTTTTTTTTTAAAAAAAAAAAACTGAATGTAATTTTGTAATGAAATCACAGTAAAAAAAATATCCTTCATGATGCACTTAAAAAAAAATATACATACTATTAGTAATAAGACAACCCGATCCAACAAACAGAACTTCATCTCTATCCCTAAAGAAAAAAGGTTGCCGAACCTCGCCCTCCCTATTACCATTAGCCAGTGTCTGTGACCTTATAATGTTTTAATGTCTTTGCTAATAGGGAATATGTTTGTTAAACATTGCATTTACCTATTGACACGGTCTCTTTCATCTCACATATACTATTATTAATAGTCTGTTTTTATATTCTTCGGATGATTTCTTTTCAAGCCATAGAACGGATCGCCTATCTTTATCGTGCTTTGTGTTTTTTCGTTTTGTTCTCCTTTATCATTAGTTCATTATCGAAATCCGAACCAATATTGTCGTACACAAGATCAAAAGATTGGTTGCTCATCTGTTCTATTCATCTGCCGCTTTTCTTTCTCTTTTTCTACTCATTTCTCATCTTATTAAGTTAATTTATCAATTTATTTCCCTTCTTTTATTTATTTATTTAAGATGAAATTCCACGTATTTCTATTATTTTA